ACTGATTTCCGCGGCGTTGAAGGGCTTCTGTCGATCGATAACCGGGTATATATATATACGACGCGCAAGTTCGCCCGCTCCTTGCGCACCCCGCGTGCATTTGTTTAGCCTCCAAATGCACCCACGTGCTTTCTGTATCCCCCTGACCTCAACCGATGTCTCGTTATCGCCCCTTTCCGTGGGCGGCGCGTTGTCCATGTTGCCCTTTGCCCGTCGTGCCCTTCCTTGCGTTCTGACGCGCCAAAGGCGCGTTTTTTGGCGCACTTGCTCGCAGTACACACACCATTAACGATGAGGCGTGACAAACGCACATATTTACGCGTCGTCGCCGTTTTTCGCGGGTGTCTTTCAACCACTCTGTCAACAGATAGCGAGTTCGTCTTAAAAGGTCCTCTTTGAGCGCACACTTCCTTGTTGTTGGTCGCCAGATAAACTCGACGCTTCATGAGCGTATTTGCACTTCGTAGAGGCTTCCTTCCGGGGGTACCAACCTGGCAGGTTGGTTTCCCGTAAGCAGATACAGACAAAATACTCCTTTGGGTCGCTCACTGTTTATTGGGAAAGTGTGCAGCCCGTTTTGGGATATTTTTGACAAAAATTGTTGTACATATAGAATATCTACGTGGCGTTCTGGAGATTCTACGTGCGATCAAGAATATCCTCGAAATTTAGCAAACGGTGCCAAACAGCGGGCAAAATAATAATTAAAAAAAAGCTTAAAGGCCGACGACGAGACTCGAGATTCTGCAAGGCAGAAGATCCTCCTCGCCATGGGGGAGGAGGAAACGCAACGGTGGACGGGGTAGAAGGGAGAGAGGAGGAAGCGGGAGAAAAGTGGAAAGCACGAACTGGTCGTCGGTCTTCAACTTGGCTCGAGTTTGGCAGTCCTAGGGATGTGACTGGGGCCTATTACTCTGCGGCGTTACTTGGGGCCAAAGTACTTGGTTCGGGCCGTAACTAGCCACAGAAATGCCAGTCTAGCTTTCCTCTTGTTCACCACATAATTGTCGAAGTGCCACACATGAGCCAAAGATGCCAAGTGACAATGAAACAACCAGTAGTGAAGCCTAATTTTGGCATTTGCTCAGGCATTATGCCCAACGTTGCCAAACGTTGCCATGTGATAACCGGGCAAAAAAACATAACTCAGACACTTTTTTTTTCCTGCGAGTTAGGAATAAAGATTTCAGGGAAGAAGCAGACAAGTGAATAGTGAAGCCTAACTCCGGCGATCTTTGGCGATTTCAGACCAAGATACCCAAACTCTGGTCAAAGAATATCAAGCCTGGTTATGCGACCTTGTCCTCTTCGGCTTTTCAGGACCCACAATTACCAGTCAACAGTTTGGTTCAAAATCCTTCGCTACTGGGATGGTCATCCTCGAAATTGTAGCCGTCTGCCTCTATCGAGTTTGCTGCGCACATAAAAAAAACAAAGCAAAAACATGTTCCCTTAAAAACGCTTCTTATGAGTCAATTCCTTTTTCCCGATTTTTTGTTAGATTAAAAAAAAAAGCATCTATAAACCCTAGACTGAGGAGAAGGAAAAGGTTTAGATTGGATTATGCTGTGTGCAGGCACGTAGCCAGGGGGAGGGGGGGGGGGCATGAGGCTTGCCCCCCCCCCCCCCCCCCCCCCCCCGCCCCCCGAAACAAAATCCTGACTGCGTGCCTGGCTGTGTGTATCTTTCCTTCGCATCTGGAGACATTCTATTCTTTGAACTTGTCGCTGCGGAACGAACCATCAATACCTCACGTTTACGAAGAAAAATCAAAAAGAAAAAGAGTTTCGTCGTGTTTATCAGAAAGTAGAACCAGACGCAACGCGGATTCAACCCTTGCCTAACAACAGCGTATTATAACCAGGCCGCGGGATAGGACGGGTACGGACGGACGAACTGTTCTCCGCGCTTTCCCGACATCGTGCATCTTGATTATTATTAATAGTGAGTTTCAGTATCGCGTACACGAGCGAACGCAAGCACGGTGCGTTTCTGTTAACGTTGCGCGTTCCACACTGGGCGTGCGCGAAGCCCAAACCGCGGTCTTGGATTGGCGCACGACTACGACACGCACGCGCAACATGGAGCACGCAACGCTAACGCGAACACACAGCGCTTGCGTTTACTTTTATACGGAATACTAATACTTGTTTCTTTTTTTTCTTTTTTTTTTTTCTTTTAGCCTCGCGCGAAGGACATACTACAGAGTTTTAGGGAACCGTATTGGCACATCCGATACGGCACATGGACCCTCCGGTACGAACTGCGCATGCGCTAGAGCAGAATACTGGCACATGCGCAGTTCGAACCGGAGAACCCACCGTACCGTATACCGTATGTGCAAAAGAGGTTCCCTCAAACTCTCTAATGTGTAGACTGTGGGCATTCGTAATGTATAGGGCATGGTGAGTTCCGAGCATATCATTATCACTCTGCAGCCAATCAGAGTGCGGCATTGGCCGATAGGACCGCCCAAGAACCAATCGGGAAGGGTGAACATGAGAGTCCCCGCCTCTCGTTTCTTGAGCCGTCTGGGACTGTGAAGTGCGAGATTCTCGGAAGCGCCGTGCCTGGATTGTGGAAGATGTCGGTGAAACCTGGCTTCTCCCCTGGCATGTTGCGGCGGACCTAAGCGGAACTTGAGCACAGACAAGAAACCTTACAACAACAAACATCACTATACACTTCTACGTAAGCTTCTCGCGTAGAAGTGTATTGCTATGTTTAGTGCGATCAGTATTCATCAAAATATAAAGTTTTGAGTCCTCTTCGAGTATAAGGGGAGGCTTTCCCGTGAACGTGACAATATTTTCCTCTTTCGCACAGCTATATGTGGCTTGCACACGTGTGACTTCGTCGCACCATGTTGGCGGTCATTCAAATACTTGTTTCTGGTCGGAACAACAAATTTGGTACTACGAGATGTACGCTGCCAAAGGTACGCGCTCAGCAGCATGGTCACCACAATGGCGTCTGATGGGACGTCAGTGCAAGCCATATGTATAGTCACCGACTAATGTTCTTAACACAAAACGAACGGAAGAAGCGGTCGATCTTATTTGAGCAGCATTATCTGTTCGTTTGGACGTTTGGCGTCGCGTCTCGCTGTTTCTCAGTATAGCGAAGCTGCAGACGACTTTCGGGGTGTTTGCTCTCCGGAGCCGTCTTTCTTCACACGTCGGCTTATCGGCGATTTCGCGCCGTTTGCTCGCCGAGACGCGACGCGCGAAGATGAAAGCGACTGTTAGCGCACGCAAGACCCTTCTCGCGCGTTCTCTTATCAAACATCAGAGGCAGTGCTCCCAAAAAAGAGCCCCCCCCCGCAGCACACTTGGGGGACCCCGCTGTGTTCCTTCCACTGCCGAAAAAGAGACAAGTTCAAGACGTATTAAATACTGGCTCACACACACGCGGTTGATTGTGATTGAGTGCGTTGTGCTGCTAGCCTGGTGCTCGCTTATGAAAAGAGAAGATGCTGGCGCTATCAGTCGAGTAGCCCTAATACACTTTTATTTTATCATATTTTATATCTTTTTGGCGTACCGTTCTTTCATCCAGAACTTGCAAAACTTTTCGCCATGTTATATAAACGACCATTTCTTATAAAGAGAACATACCCCCGCGAATAATTAATAACAAAAACACCCAATCCGACTTTTTTTTTTTGCATCTTTTTGCGAACCTTGCACTTAATTTCTACTTGAGAACACAGCCCTCTGAAGAACCGGCAGACACGAAACGTGAAGGACTCTTTCAGCTCGTATTGTTCGCGATAATACATTTGATGTCCCAAATTACTGCCAAACTGTCACTCTGGCTAAATGCAGTTCTGCAAATGCAGGTGGCGCGAGCGTGCCAGTGTGTTCTCTTGTCACGAGAGATCACTAGAACTCGGTCGTACGCAAACGCAAATGTGCGAACAAGCCTTTACTTGGCCGCACACGAAGCAAGAACTCGCTCACGCCGAGAAGCAAATTAAAAGTAGTTCACTTATTCTGCAATTAGTTTATATTTTAGTAGCTATTTCCTAAGAGGAAATGGCCGTGCAATACCTGTAACTCTTACATTCTTTAAAAAAATATCAAAAATCTTGAACGACTTTGCGTTGTTTTTTTTTTTTTTTGTTTTTTTCAGTATAGCATCGCTTGGAACTAATCCTTGACGTCTATGGCCTACGAAACTTACATTAGGTTTTCTCTCCTCGCAGTGGCAGTCACGGTAAAAGATATATAGAAACACGAGCACTGTTCACGCTCTTTAACTCGCAGCCGAGAGCTAGTGGCCTTGTAATGTGGTTTCCATCAAATGCCGCCAAGATTCGTCATATAGCCACGAACTGGGCTCGGAAAAGCCAAAGCACAGGCCGGGTGCAGAGCCTCGGACGTAGAGTTGGGTTTTTCCCGTCATTGCGGTGCTTCTAGAGTAGCCGCTGCCGCTCTGAAGGATTCCAAGCTCTCCACATCATTGATTTCTTGTAGAATACGTTTTGTTTTTTTTGTTTTTTTTTTGTTTAACGCAGAATTTGTTTTGTCACCCGATTTTCGGGAGAAAACCGTCACGAAGAACCGTCACGAGGGACCATCATGAAGGACCGTCACGTCAGTTTTGGCGTGCGACAATGGTCCCACCAAAATATCTCCTGACTCCACCCTAAAATACACAAAACAACAATTTTTGCGAGATCGAAAATGCGTGCTTCTATGAGAAATGATCATCCATAGCATTGTCAAAAAGTTTTTTCGAGCCAATGGTAAAAGAATAATGCGCGAAGAAAATAGAAAATATACGGAAACTACAAGTGTTCGCACTTCTACCCGATAGCTGGCGCCTGTGTTTCTTCTCGTCGTAAGAGATCACAGGAGGTTGTAAGGCGTCACTCGGTCGCAAGTAGTCGCAAGTGTGTGAAAGAGGCTTAACCAACGACTATCCATGTTTTGTTTTTGTTTTTTTCCCCAGCACGTTGAGTAAGCTTTAGCCTTTTTTGCTTTCTTTGTTTGTAGATGCTTCTGCTCCGGCTCAGGGATCCGAGAAAGAAGATCAGCGCGGGAAATTCGCCAGCAGGATCGAGTCGCTCCTGTACTGCATCGGCTTCGCCGTGGGCATCGGGGACATATGGAGGTTTCCCATCCTGGTCTACCAAAACGGAGGGGGTGCGTACAACGTCCAGCATGGAACTCGCAAAACACTTTGCCGAAAAAAAAAACCAACTAAGGCGTAAAAAAATAATGTTAATTACCCGATTTGAAAGAGCATCATCTTTTAAGCCGCAGTTCTACCACTCGTATTATCGGCAGCAATATAAAAAACAACAGTTAATTTTTTTTTTCGGTTTGACAGTTTTTTTCTTAACCTTCGTTAAGCCTCGACCTCTCAAACCGCGTGTGTATTTTGGAATCTAAACCTTTCGCTCTAGCCCTCCCCGAGGCCATAACGTGTTCAAAAATTTGTTGGTACATAAAAAAAAAAAGCTGGGTAGTCTGTTTTTTTTTATATATTGTTGTCTAGGCATACAAAATATGTGGTGTTCTCCGCAGGCACGATGACATAGTTTTTTGCGCACACGACTCGGGGATGTTCGGACGTGTTTGATTCGTACACAAGTGTGGCTTCGAACGCCTGTGCAGACAGTTCTTGTATGACTAATGTGGCAGGGCCCTCAGTACGAGGAAGAAAGGCGTTTCAATCTAGTGTCTGTAGACTGTATTTATTATGATGTACTTAGCGGTGTGACCATGTCTTGAAAGACGCAACCTTTTGCACAAGGGCGCCGCCATCTTGAATTGTCGTCACTTCCAGTATGGGCGAAAACATCGTTTTGCCGTCGCCACGCCAATAGAAGGCGTTTAGGATATAAGCCTAACCGTCACACATTCTCGTTTTGGCTCCCCTCTATTTTTTTGCTAGTTACAGGTTGAAACGTTGTATTATTTTGTCGTCGCCCATAAGGGAAGTGACGACAATTCAAGATGGTGGCACCCCTGTGGAAAATGTCTTTATTCCGTCCTTTTTTTTTTTTTTTTTTTAGAGCGCATTTTAGTTGTTTTGGAGGGAAGCCACGGTTAAGGCAATTCTGACTACTTGAGGCAGAAATGTTTTCTACTTGTTTATCAAAGTTGAATTAAAGCCGCCGGCTTCCAGACTTTTTTTCTTTCAGTTAGGAATTTACTGCTTGATGTCTTTATGTATCTTTGCCATGCCTATGATTTATTTCGATGGGTGGTTTCATTTGAATTCGACAAACGTTGTCGGGGGAAAAAAGGGGGGAGGGGGAGGGGGTTCAGATTTTTTTGGACAAAATTATATGTGGTAGGTTTATCCCCCCCCCCCCCCCCCCCTTAAACAAAAGTGAATTTTAAAAAAATAGAATGAAAGTGTTTCGCAGAAATTAGATCCTAACAGCCAGAAGGTAAAATCTGTGGAAAGCGTTAATCTCATTTTTTTTTCTCTCTCTCAATTTTGTGCATTGTTTTAAGACAGTTGGCTTTACTGAAACGGCTAGCATATTTTTACGATGCAGGGAACGTTCTGAATAATTTACATAAACGAAACAGTGATTTTTAGGTTTAATAGTTATTTTCGTACAAAATGGCAAACTTGCTACCTGGAGCAATTTTGCCTCCAATTTGAATTGATTAAGTAAACGAACCGTACACGATAATTACACAAAACAAGTTTCAGTGTTTATCTATAATCATAAGCTATCTGGTGGTATAAATTTTGTCTTTGTACTCTTTACCAAAAAAAAATGTATACCTCTTTTTTTTATCGAAATGTTCTAACATTTCAAATCAATTTTCTGAAAAAAAAAATTTTGTTTTGTTATTTTTAACTTGTTTTTACTTGATAACCCATAAAGTAAAGAAATACTGAATAAAGGTTTTGAGTGTGATATTTGTGTTGTATTTTAAGCACAGTCAGTTAAATAAGCCAATTTTAGTATTGTTTCTCAATCCTTGGTTTAACTATGCTGACTTCACCGCAATGTTGCTGGCGGTCTTAGTAATAATGGATGTTTTTCGAAGGTACTTTACCGTGAGTGTTTTCCTGTTATATATGCTCGTAGCAATTCCTCGAACATCTGACAGACGTTACGGAGGTCTAAAATAAACCATTCATGTTGACAGTTGTGACTGCAGTATGTTGACAGTTAGCATTGCAGTATGAAAGCGGGGCGAGCCAGACATTATGTTTCAAGCTCGGGAAGGCCCAAGACACGAGACGTATATCCAGTATTTTTATACCTTCTGGGCCATCAAGTAAAGAAAAGTAATATATATATATATATATATATAACAAAATTATAAAAAAAAAATTATTTGAAATATCTCAGAATTTTTTGTATTTTAAAACGTTTAGATTTAGATATAATTTTTCGTAACGAGTACAAAGACAAATTAAGCTTATACACTAAATAGCTTATGGAGTATAGCTATGAACTGATACAATTGTTTTATGTCATTATCTTGTACGTTTTTTTTTTTTTTTAGCAATTCAAATTGGAGGCGAAATTGCTGCGAAAGCAAGTTTGCGCACGGAGCAAACTTGCTTTCGGAGAATATCAAAGGAATTCGACTTGAAGATGCAAAGGTTGTTTTAAAGAAAGCAAACTGGAAGCCACACATTAAAAAATGGGTCGTCATGAAACCCCAGCGAAGTCTTTAATTGGGTCTCTGCGCATCAAAACTCACAGCTTTCTTGTTCTTGTTATGTCAACATTTTTTACAGGGGCATTCTTCGCCGCATACCTCATCGTCATGGTACTGGTAGCGATTCCTCTATTCAGCATGGAACTAGCCCTAGGCCAATTTTCCAGTCTTGGACCAATTGCTGTCTGGAAGTGCCTTCCAGTCGCAAGAGGCGAGTATCCGTTGCTTTTCAAAATCTACTCAAACGTGAGGTTACGCACCGCTACAAGAAAATATCTCTGGACGCCGTATTCTTTCATGCAGAAAGGGGTTAATAGTTGTGGTCTGTGTCGTCGAGAGCAGGAGCTATGTTAGGTTGTCTAGTCCCTAGGTATGAAACATTGTCTTTCCCTGGGTTAGGGAGTAGACCTGTCCTTCACAAAGAAAGACCTCACATGTCTTGTCTTTGGGTTAAGGACAATACAGGTGGAGGAAAATCACTTAAAGAAGCGCAAAAAATACAAGGACGAGGAAGTAGACAGACAAGAGCGCTCTAGTCTGTTTACTTTCTCGTCCTTCTATTTTTTTTCCGCTTCTTTAAGTGATCATGAACCAACTGGCCCAAATTGCTACCTTAGTGTAGGAAAATGCGAAAAAAGAAAAGGATGCCAAAAAATGTGGAGATGGCAGGCACTATGGAGGGGTCAGCGTACCTAAAGCAGACCATTCTACTAAATAATAAAAAAAAACAAAAAACAGTAACCTAAACCTTTTTTGTAACTGTCAGTTTTCTGCGTGTCGTGGTCAGTGCAGTCCACATAAAAGGTGTTCACAGATTCAATGCCTTCAACTCGATGGGTGTTGCTCTCCATTTCAACGAAGAATACGTTCTTGGGCTCGTACCATATTGGTTCTCAGCAGCACGCGAGTGTGTGAAGACAAAACTTACGTTCACCGCCCGAAGTCACCCCTGACCTTCGCGCTTTGACCACAATGTAATCTTAAACAAATTTTCATAAATCTGCGACCGGTGCCGACATGGAAACTAGCACCTAAATCCAAATCCCGTAGTGTAAGACGGCATACGTAAATATTTCTTGGGCATGATGCGTAAAATACAGCGAGAGACAAGCATCCGCCGACCAAGGACGCATTCCGCGTACAGCCGCCCACAGTATGACAGACCCATTTGTTGGGGCAGTTTATGGAGTGGGTACTGAGCCTATACACAACCTAAAATAATCAAAGCCCGTACGCTCTAGTATTTCGACGCAGTGGGTTCAAGTGCAGACACAGAATAGACGCGAGTGCTGCGTTGGAGTTCGACGGGACCTCGTGTCCAGTCAACGCGTCGAAGGACGCTGAGCGTCAGGGCCCCATTCCTGCGTTATTGCTTATTTTGTAGTTGGTGGCAGGTTAGGAGTGCAGGAAAAGTTCCTTCCGCAAAGCTCTCCTGTTTCTCAACTTTAGCAGATTGAAGACTGGAGAAAAAGCGAGGAGGGAGGAGGGACTCGCCTCTTTCACAGCGCTCCCTGTGCTACAAAGAGTAGAGGGCTTTACGGGAGGAGCTCCAGCACTCTTCACCTGCCGCAGACTATATAGGTAATGTTCGTGAAGCACACTTCGGCCAGAAAAGCATTATCTTTGGAGGGAGACTAGAACAAATACTTATCTCTTCATCCGAAGAAATGTGAACCTGGCCGAGGCGAATCCAGCATAGCCGCCTGAAACTGCTTCGTCAGTGGGTCCTTCATATTGTTGAAGACTGTACAACGAGCATTTGTTTGCACGTCCAAGTAGCAGTTTGCTCGAAGGGCTCACGCGCTTTCGTTTCCTTCAGGGGTGGGCATCGCAATGGTGGTGATGTCTCTGCTCGTGGCCATCTACTACAACGTGATTCTCTGCTACACGCTCTTCTACCTCGCCCAATCTTTCCGCTCGGTGCTCCCGTGGAGCGACTGCTACGAGTGGTGGGGCGCCGACAAGGAGACCTGCTACGTTCGCTCCAGCGATCTCGTGAGTTTATACTCGTTTTCCCGCCGTCCCTTGTCTAACTGAACAATACTACATGTAGCGTTGGCGATGTCTGTCCAATTTCTTCAACGTCAATCGAACAAATAGATGACTTCGTCCCATTACAAAAGAGGGAATGGGACCTTTAGATTCTGCTTCTTATCTATCTAGATGACATGCGGAAGACATGTTTTCATTTAGTTGGTATGAAGATGCATTTTCTCCAATAAAAAACAAACAAACAACACACTCACGTTTTCTCAATGCTGGTATATGGTACCGGTAATGTTCTACATTATCTTGGTATATCTCGCAATAAGACCATTAATCTCGAAGGCTACTATAGATGCTGAAATGACTTTAGAATCAGCGTGACAAAATAAAACGTGGTCGTGTTAATTCCCTGCGTCATTTTTTTTTTTTTTTTTTTTCACAGAATAGCGAGTTTTAGAATACAGGGACCAACGCCTTGAGTCCCGCAAGCAGTTTGGTGCACCACTGGCTGCACAAGCCCAGAAGTTGTGCGCATGTCCAGAGCGCACTTATTCAAAGCGTCGAGGCCCCCTATTGTAAAACGCTCTATATTCTTGAGTTGCGTGTGAAAAGCGACACGCTTGACCGACATGCATGTCGCGCTATCTTGTGGCGTCACGTGACGTCGTTACATCAACGTACGTCACAAGCACACAGTGTATGGGGCCAGCTCATTCACAACACATTCTGCGGGTTTAATAAGGCGAACTTGGGCCTACGAACGAAAACAGAAAGGTGGTACCAGCATCTTGCGTCTGCGACGGGAGGGCGATGTTTCCCGAACACACGCCGACAGCCGAGAACGAACCGGAAAGTTCCAGACCAGCGAAAATTGATAGAAGGAAGGACTGGGCCCAGCGGGGTTGGCACCCCTTTCCTCCGCGTGGCATCCGCGTGCATTGCCAAGTCCGTTCGCAAACGCGGCAATCTTCAAGTATATACTTCTGAGAAATAGACAGGGTATCAGGCTACCTTGATGTCCCTAACGCAGGTTCGCTGCAAGGACGTGCCGGACGTCCTCTGGAAAACGTACGGAGAGAACCAGACGGCCGGCGGCGCGGACGCGGCATTCTCGGCTGACCGCCAATGGCTCACGTCCCTAGTCCACGGGGCCAACTTCAGCGTTCCCACAGAAGCATTCCAAAGCCTCGCCGCCAACTGCACCAACGCCACGCAGACAGCCGCCGAACAGTTTTGGGAGTGAGTTCACGAGCGCGTCCCCCGCTGTATTGCTAATAATTATTCGTGCATACCCAGTTGAAAATTCCTATTAAGTTCCAATTGGAATTTTCTTATTGGTACCAATTGGTGACTTATTGGTACCAATTGGGTTTTTGGACAACCAATTGGTCACTGCCAATGGGAACCAACGGGAACCAATGGGAACCATTGGGAACCCATTCAGGTTCCAACTGAAAAAATAATTCCAATTGGTGAGACCCATTGGCCAGTGCGGTTCCAGCTGGAACCCACTAAAACCAATTGGTTCCAGTTAAAACCAGTTGGAATTCCAATTGGATTTAATGGGAATTTTTAACTGGGTAACTTCCGGGCCGCCATATCTTTGAACAATGTGTCCCGAGATGATCCCTACTCTTCCCCAGGGAGTATACCCAGAAGTTCGGGGCGTATATACTCACTGGGGAATGGTTGAGGTCGTCTTGGGTCACAGTTTTTACTTTATTGATTCTTTTTTTTAAGAAGCTTTATAGTCAAGAATATGTTTATGTAATGTATCTCAAATACTTCTCCCATCCAATAGATGGCGGCTTTTAAAGGAACCATGAAATAACTTCATGAATGCTTATTGAAAGCGTGCGACACATAAAGTGTGCCCACCGCTCCACCCTGGCAGTTGGTTGGCAACGCCACCAAAGTCCGCGTCACTTCGCATAGTGAAACGCTATACCCGTTCCAAACTCTTCTAATATACCTGCTGCGTGTTGGCGACGTCTGCAAATTCCTATGGCCGTGTTTTTCGATCTGACTACGGAGTAAAGGTTTCGCACCTTGGAATTTGAAAAACCTTACCCACGTCCAGCGTTGTATCTGTTTCCACGTCATTCGATCCGCAGGAGTGGCTCGGAGTTTGGGTTCAATCGTGTCCTGCACAGTTTTAATTGGCAACGACGGCAACACGCCGCAATGCTTTTTGGTTTATCTGTGCTGGTCTATGCCTCTACGAACGACTTGTGTGTTTGACGTTCCGGAAATCACTACGGAACGTCATTCACCAGAACGAGAAATTGAGAAAATTTACGCGATGAGTGTTTTTCGATCAAAGTATAATCAGATTGCTCTTCTCTCGCTGGCGGATCAAGTAGAAGTGCTGGGATTGAGATGATCTCAGCGTTGTTTTCTCCAGCGCATGAAGGGGATCTATGTGCTCAACTCCCAGATCTCGCGTAAAAAAAAAATAGGGCGAATTGTTGCTTCGAACGTTTTGTATAAGGCTGCGCTCAGATAAGCTGACATTCCTCGGAAACCAGATAGTTTTAGGAAACCCTTTTTGCACAGCCGATGCGGTGCGATGGGCCCTCCGGTACGAACTGCGCATGCGCTGCCGCAGAAGAGTCGCACATGCGCATTTCGAGCTGGATGGCCCATTATACCCTATCGGGTGTGCAAAAACGGTTCCCTAAAACTCTCTACTGAAGTCGAATGCTACACACGATGTCTACGCGAAATGTTTCTTCAAGGAGCCACACCGTGGCGCCAATGTCTTGTCGCATGCTTCCAATATACGCTTGAGGATTGAGGTATTGGGTTAAGGCCCGTTCACACACTTGTGACCTCTTCGAGCCGAGTGCCCTGGAACCTTTTAAAATCTCTTACGACGAGAAGACACACTGGCGCCACGTATTGGATAGCAGTGTAAACTTGGCGGTCTGGCATATTTTCTATTTCTCTCGCGCATTATCCTTTCGTTCTTGGCTCAAAAAACTTTTGCCAACGTTATAAACGAGACTTTCTCATAGGTATTACGCACTTTTGACCTCGGAAATTCCGCAAAACCTTCGCTCTTGTGAAATTCAGTTCCAGGGTCACCGCATAGATGGCGCCAGCGTGGCAGTGTGTTCTCTCGTCCTAAGAAATTTTAAGAGGTTTCAACAGATCTCGTCTCTCTCGGTCGTACTCTGTTGCAAGTGTGTGAACGGGCCTTTACTATAAAATCATCAACCATAATTTAAAAAAATGCACGGCATCTAAAGTGAGAATGTTCAGTCAATTTGGTGATGAAGAGGCCATTGCCGGGTTATGTTTTGTTTAGTTGATATTTACAACAGAGACAGGGCTTGCCGACAAGCTGCGATTTCGTAATGTGAAGTTACACTTCTGCACTCTACGATGGAAACCAGAAACAAAAATGTGTGGAACAGATCAGACACTTAAAACTTTATAAACAATAAGTCGTAGCATCTGGCGCGTGTTTTGTCATAAATAAGCAAATAACGACGGGATATTTCTGCTTATTGTATTACATTATACCGTGTCTTTTTTTTAATTCACAGATGTGTTTAAAAATGACTTGAAAGTTACACGTATGCGGTTTGTACATGGGAGTTATACGGCCAGGGGGACATAGTATAGGTGGCTAATCTTAGCGATCAGTCGGCAAATTAATTAAAATTTGTTAATTAGCTTTTTTAGTTAATGAAAATAGACTATGGTTCCAATTAGAAACTTTCCGAGCGTCATCGAAAACCACTAAATCAGTCATATTCATAAAGACTCTCAGCGCGTGAGAAGCGTAGGAGTGCACTAAAGTTACCACTCGTGGAGGTACAAGGCTAGCGGTTGCGGTAAAGCGCCCGCGCGATTTTCCAGTCTCTTATCTAGCCCCAGCCTTGTACTTGCTCCGCGAGTGGTAACTTTAGTACACTACTACGCTTCTCACGCGCTCAAAATATTTGTGAAAATTACTGATTTAGTGGATTTCGACGACGCTCAGCAAGTTTCTAATTGGAAACATGTCTATTTTCATTATGAAAAAAGTTAATGAACAGATTTTCTTAATTAGCCGACTGATGGTTACGATTAGCCCCCTATACTTTATGTCCCCCTGGTCGTATAACTCACCTCCACAAGCGGCATAAGTGTAACTTTCACGGCTTTTTTTAAACAAATCTGTTAAGCTTAAAAAAACACCCTGTATAATAATGCCGGCAGCATGTCAATGTTACTATTAAGACTGCATTGTTTTATGCGGCTATGCAACCTGGAACTCAAATATGACTGCATAGATGCTGCATTGCTGTAGGCGAAATTGGAATCTGTCGTATGGAAGTTCCATTAGTAGACGTTTGGCTTGTATGTACCCTATTTGCCGGACTATAGTTCGGGCCCGGTGTATAATCTGCCTAATCAAATTTCGGTTGAAAAACAAAATTCCTTGTATAGTCCGCGCTGTGCGCATAATCTGCAACCAGTGCATCGTCCATACTAAGTGCATAAATCGAACGAAAACTTATTATCCTAAACAGCACACTTTGACAAATGTCTGCTTTATTAGCGCATAGAAAACTCGTATCATACAGAAATCACCATTAACATTCCACTCACAAACCCGACACGTCTCATCCTGAGAACGATCTTGAAGAAACAAATAGTTTGTGCCTCTAGATAGTCAGCACCGCGAAAAAAAAAGGTCCAACCTTTAAACAGCGTTATTGATGAGCCAGCGTATTTTGACATTCATATATTGCCAGTCAGGCTAGCTCTAAATCGGGCAGCGATCATAGATTTCCCGATGTATTGAGAAGTGCAAGACTCGCTTTACAGTGAAACCCATTCCCTTTGCAGGAAATATGTCCTAGACTTGTCGCCGAACATTGAAGAGGTGGGGAGCATCAAGTGGGACCTCTGCCTCTGCCTCTTCGTCAGCTGGGCGATCGTGTTCCTCTGCCTGATACGAGGCGTGTCCTCATCGGGGAAGGTAAGACTCGCTCAGACGTTCTCATCACGACATTCTGAACCGTACAGAAATGCCATATATGGCCATATCAAGAACGGGGCAAGTAAAGTCATATATAGCCATATGTTTATGGTCAAAAAGGGATGGGCAATATTTTGTATATAGAAGGACTTTAACTACCTATTCAAAATACTTTTTGGGTATTTTCTATTTTTTATTCTTTTTTTTTTATTTATGGAACTTTAAACAGCTCATAGGCGTACAGAAGGGTGAACCTTTTGTGAGGAATATGCATTATAACGCAAATAACAAATATAAAAAAGCACGCACGGTTGGTATTACACAAAATATGTTGCGAGAAAGGAAGGTGGCCTAAGAGAAAAATTAAACTAAAAAAGAAGACATCGGATGTGAATAGAGAACACCAAAGAATGATGATTCCTAATATTGTAAAAAAATATAAAGGCACTTAAACACCAATACTAACTAAAAATTTCAAATGCACAAAACAAAATCGATTTACTCGAGAATTGGAGGAGTAATCGCAGACCAAAATTTTCACGTGTAAAAATGTCTACCCCAAAGGAGCCTACTGCTTTGTACCGATTAAAATTATTTTAAATGCGTTCAAGGGGTCACATGCTCTTTGGCTCTGAGCAACCTTTTACACGATGGGAGTGAAGGTACCTATCAGGTACAGCGATAAAAAAAAAACACGAAATTTGTTTAGGGCAGTTAGTAGAACCGCGGAGACATTTATAATAAAATAACAAATCACGTGTCATCCTCCTTTCAGAGATCTAGTGAAGGTCTAAAATCTCTATCTAGCAGCCGCTCATGGCGGAACTTAATCCGCCTGTGAAAATAAGGGCCATAATGAAACGCGAACCAATTTTTTTTGCGTATATTAAAGCTCATGTGTGTTCGTCTTGTTAGGGGTGTTCCATATAGTACTGGAGATGTCCAACTTCGACCAGATTATCGATCTATACAGTTAAAAAAGCACGAAAAGCTGTTAAAATGTCGAGTCCTTCGAATGATTGCGTCCAAAGTGCGGTAACATGCATTGTTTAAGCATGCAACATCTCCAGAAAATTACAATTCACTATCCATAAATACGCCCAGATCCCGTATTACGGAGACGCGCCCCATCACGCAGTTATTTGGAGCGTCTCAGTGGTCGGGTTCAAGTTATTGTTTGAAAAATCAACAATAGCTCGAGAGAGCTTAACATCATCTGCGAATCGTAAAATCTCCGAGTGATAAATGCATGTACTAGTGTCGTTCCCGAATATGTTGAAAAGCAGAGTCGCTAGGTTAGAACCCTGCGGAACGCCATATGTAAAACAGTACAGCGTCTACTTGACACCACCGTATGGAATAGAATTCCATCGACCATACAGGTAGTTTTCAACCCAATCACAAAGCGGCAGAGAGACACCACACATAGAAAATTTGTTTAATCAGCAAAGGGCAGCTGATTAGGTCAAACACTTTTTAAAAAAATAAATCAAAGTATATGACTTCAACTTGTTTTGACCCTAGGTTCGAACACAGGAATTCTGGAAATGTTACCAAGTTTATTTCTACAAAACGATTGGGCATCAAGTCATGTTGATGCGTTGATGCATACGCATGCGCTGCGAAAAAGAACTCAGTTAGGTGACGATGCATGAACTTTTTTTTTTAAATATTGTATCAAACAAAGAAATCGGTTTGATTAAACTATAGTTACCGACTGACTAATATGTTTAACTACACGTTAGAGCGTGTATTTGTCAATTGTATTTAAATAAAAAAAATCTGTTTCGAATACTTGCACTCCAATATACCGGCCAGATGCAATTTTATGCAACTGTTCTTCGCAATCAAATACAATTTTGGGCACTCTTTGCCCGTCAGGGTGTTATAAAAACATAAAACTTGCTGCGCTTTGCAGGGTAAGTGTTGTACCTGCTTGTCATATATGCCAATTACCTTTTATTTTTAAAGATGAAACTTTCTTTTTGTGCACTTCCTAATGGTTACTTATCGTCTCTACTTTTTATTTTGGGCACATTCCTTTTACCCCGAGTTAAATTTAGGTCTTAGATGTCAAACTACGGGAACAAAATGTATTTGTAAAGGTATTTCAAGGTGATAAAAAACGTTGTTTTTGCACGTATCTTGTATTTAAATACTTTTAGAAAAAGTTAAATTGCATAAGTATATACACACATTACTGTCGAAGTATTTTGTGTTTATAGTGTGATACATTTTTGCAAGTATTTTCCTTATCTCTGCGGCTTATCTCTTGCTTATCTTTATGCTCATCTACCCAACTTGCCCTCTTTTGCGAACTTTTTTTCCCCGCTCCCGACACTACCGGAAAAGTGGCACGGCTAACGGCGTTTCTTTGGTTCTTTTCCGTTGGTTGTTTTGTGAACAGGTCGTCTACTTTACTGCGACATTCCCGTACGTAGTCCTCTTCATCCTCCTCGTCAAAGGAGCCACACTCTCTGGAGCCGCGCAAGGCATCGCCTACTTCCTCGTCCCGGACTTCACCAGGCTCACTGATCTCAATGTAAGCATGCATTCATTTTATATCCGATATTTTCTTTTGTATCTGATACGTCCAATAAACATATACAAGACCTTATATAAGTTATTAAGGGTCTAAGTTTGTATATGGTCTTACATGTCATCATATGTTTTTGAACACATTCATCTAATTATATTTTTCACTATGGGGCTAGTCGAGATTGTTCAATTCGAGGCGGGTTTTGCCTTTTCGTACTCAGGTACCTGCGGTGATGCGAATTGTGTCGTAATATAAAAATGACCTCCTAGTGAATATCACCCGCCTACTAAACATCCTCGGCGCTCTAATAACGCTCATTGGGAACTTTACTGCACTGGCTTTCACGTGAGCAGCATGAATATGGGAAAAGTTTTTACTGCTTTTCTAAGTCGGAAATAAAAATAAGTCCGGCTATGTTTTTTTGGTTTTTTTTCTGCCAATATTAAGACACCGTTCATGAGCGTGATTGAACAGTGGCTCATGGCAATGAACTAATTGTTAAATAGAACAATATTTTTGAAAATTGTCTCTGTTTTGCCAGTTTTCTCCGATAATAGTCCTCTAAAGGTTAACCATCAATGTATTTAATAAAACTTAACGGGGCAAAACTATATTATATAGCCGATATCTTAACATATAATTTAGATTGTGTTTAAAGTTTTAAAAAAAATATTGTTCTTATCTCAAGCTCCCCTTCACCTTTGTAATTAAATATAGTCTGTAGATCCTTGCGTCGTCATGTGCAGTAATATAAAGCATTTTCCATCCACTGTGGCCAGACTAGCTTTTGGAGCGTGGCTGCTTGCATACGTCTGTAGCTAATATTATTATATTCATGGCGTTTCAAGCACCAGACCACGTATATTTAACCACTATTGTGGTAGACGCCGTTATTCAATGAATGAGTGCGTCATTTTGCATGCGTGTTCACGTGGTTCCTGCAGATATGGCGTCGAGCAACGGAGCAGGTGTTCTATTCTCTGGGAATCTCCTGGGGCGGGCTCATCATGTCGGGAAGCTACAACAACTTCCGTCACGCCATTCATCTGTAAGTTACCTAACTGTGTTCCGGGGCTCCTCATGGTCGTATATTTGTCATCGCTACTCATCTCAGTTTGCCAGCTGTCCAACGGCTTAAAATGTCGAGCCGTTTCGGAAAATGTATGCGTCAGTCTTTTTCTATATCGACATGGTAATTAATCGGTAAAAAAAAATTGCCCGTGTTTGTTTATTCTAAAGGCGCCCCAAAAGCATAGCATTTTACGTCCTCCGTGACTTCACGGCGTCACGTTACATTACGTCAAGACATGACTCCAAGTCCCGTCAAGTGATACTATGCATGCTTACGATACAAAGTATATAGCGCTCGAATACAGACAAAAGGAGGATACCAGGACACCATTAGAGAGTTTTAGTAGACCGTTCCGATAACGATACCCGATACCCCGCCGCCCACGGACTCAAAAGCTGCAAGCGCTGGCCCTTTGAATGTTATGCCTCTAACTTAAATTTCCGTCTGTTGTCTCTTAAGAAGTCTGCTAAGCATATGATCTCACGCGGGCGCACTGAACCATTCCAGAGATGCATCCATCGTGGTAATAGCGGACCTCATCACCAGCCTTCTCGGGGGCATAGCCATCTTCGCCGTGCTGGGCCATATGTCACTGGAACTGAACGTACCCATCGAGGAGGTCGCCAAGGCGGGTGAGTTGTGGTCAATTACACGGTGTGTTAGATGGGGATTGAGATCTAAGGAAGATGATAACGGCGCGCGGTTAACACTTTTTTTTCTTTCCCAAAGAAAACCTATGTGGAGCGCAAGTTCGTCTGCTTCTTTTGAGGGGTTGTGACGACGTCAGAACTTTGAGCTCTGATTGGCTCTGATTAAAGGTTAGTGGGTAGAGCTCAAAACAATCTGCCTTGAGGTCTACCCACTATCTTTCAATCCGAGCCAATCCGAGCCAATCGGAGCCAATCGGAGCTCGGCGTTTTGACGTCACCACAACCCCTGCAAAAGAAGCAGACGAACTTGCTCTCCGCATAGTCTGTGACCGGTTAAGAGATCAAGAAAAGCTCCTCCCACCTCCTTTTATTTGAGCAGAACGAACACTGGAAAGGAGGTAACCTCTTTTCCAGCGTTCGCTTCGTTGAATTATGAAGAGGTGGGGGAGCTACCCTTGAGTTCTTAAGCTGTCACAGGCTATATGCTGGCGTATTCTCAGTGAAATTAGTCGGTCTTATTTAAGACAGTCTCAAGAAGAAGTGTTGCGCGCTTGCTTACCCTAACCCTCACAATGATCTTCTTCGAGATTGCCTGAGCGAGTAACATAATTTCGAGTAGGACAGCCCTGATGCAATCGCTCACTTACTGTTGACTAAACGCGTCATATCTGAAACTTAGAGAAAAAGATGGCGTCCTCAAAAGGTTTTTGTGACAGCCAATGTTTCGCAGATTCTGTTTCTTCAGGCCAACCAAACTTCGGCTGCCTTTCTAATTAGGTTTAGCTCCCTTTCTCTTGATCGCTTAATGTTGACGTAGTAAAGCAGTAAAACCGCATCAGGCTTTGGGTAAACATGTTACTGGACCAATAGTGCAGCCTATCCTATCCATCTATGCTTGGATCGAATCATGACCGGATATTCGAACAATACAGTTGTAGCTATAACGACGCAACCGTGCTGAGTCAACGAACTAATGGCCCTTCTCCTGTCCTCAAAAATTAAAAAAAAAAAAAAAACAATGCACTAGTAATCATCGCAACACAACCATTTTAACTCGGTGAATCAATTGTCTCCACCACAGGGCAAGGCCTAGCATTCGTCATCTACCCAGAGGCATTGACGACCTTCTGGTGTCCGCAACTATGGTCTTTCGTATTTTTCATCATGCTGTACCTCCTGGGTATTGACAGTGAGGTATACCTACTGAGTTTTGTGCCTCAGTTTTTTTTTATTTATTGATTGATCACATTCAATGGCACAGTTCACTGCTCCTTAAATTGCCGCTACCGTATTCGTGTAAGGGCCCACGCTGTAAATTCTTCCGCGATTTCATGGACATTTATATTTTCTCAATTTTCCCCATCCTGCGAGTTGTATGCGTCAGTTTTCGCCCCGTTTTCGTGTTTATTTTTTCCGGTTGTTTAAGTATATTTACCAACACGCTCGTTTTTAATGTTAATGAAGGTCCTCCCAAGGGTTACTTCAGCAAGTCATAAATGGCACAACAGGTTCCGCCGGTGTGAGATTATTCGATGACTTTCCTTTAAATAGTTAGTTACTGTATGTTCCGTACTGTTGTCCTTGGACTATACGTTTAAAAGTTTAAATTTCACGGGCTATCTACCGATGCGAACTCTACAACACTAAAAAAAGAATTTAAGTTTTCCTATATCGTTCATTATGACGAGGCAGGATTGATTTTGTAAGCGGTATGATAATGATGACTTGTGTCGGATACAAGCTTCTTTATGATCTGATAGAGCGTCATTAGTCAGTCTATATTGCGTAGGATAATTTCTTGTGGTCTATCCAACAGAAACCGACTAGCTAAAAAATCAATTTTTCCCCACTGAAATGTTTCGCTGCGGACCTTACATCGGTTGCGGGCTGCTGCCCAAAAAATAATACACTCTTTAGATTCAATCACATCGCGAATGCATCGTTTACACTCCTAATCTTTTTTAAATCTTATTTTAGGTCTTCGATGTGGCATGCACGTATATGTTTTTAGTATGTGATCAAGTATTACTTTTTGTAAAATGGAAACAGCTTTTTTTTTACATTGATTGTGTTTTTTTGCATCAATCATCCACCTCATTTCAACAGTCGATGCTTTTTTCTCAGTTTCCTCTGCTGCAGACCACGCTGACCGTGATCTCTGACACATTCCCATCGCTTCGGAGACATCGCTCCATCATGGCCTTGGTCGCCTGCTCTGGTTGCTTCCTCATTGGCCTCTCCTGTGTAACCCAGGTACGCCACCCGAGCGTCTAAACCCCTTCAGCCTCTACTGAGGGGGCTGATGTACAGGGATGTTTCAAGTTTACTTTCGGGGGAGCGATTAGCCAGCGCGTTAGCATGCCACAGTTCGATGCACGTGGAGCTAAAGCTCGCGCTGCAGAACCCAGGGATACCTGGGTTCAACATGATGAAGAAAATAGCGGATAAAAAGTCGAGGACAAGGACAGGAATGGAACACATAACACAGACAAGCGCTAACTCACAACTCAAATGTATCGTACGTTGAAAAGAAGAAACAAGCCGGATGCTCCTTTCGTTTTTCTTCTTTTCAGCGTACAATACATTTGAGTTGCGCGACAGTTAGCGCTTGTCTGTGTTCCGTGTTCCGTTCCTGTCCTTGTCCTTGCCTTTTTGTGCGATATTTTTTCGTCATGTTCAATCAGTACCAACTCGCCCAGCTTACCATCTTATGACAGTTTATTCTCTGGGTTCAATCCCGATTCCTGACCGTTTCGTACTAGATGAGCATCGTACCGGCGTGCGGTCGTGTATCATTATTGCGTGATGGACGTTAAAGACCCCAGGCACTGGTACTAGTGTTAGCGTTTGGGGCGAACCAATTAAGAATACGGTTACATGAAACTGTTTATTTAATGAAAACTTTGAAGGTTACACTACAGATTATATAAAGCTTGCTGTTATAGAGCGGTGCTGCGTTTCGCTCGGCGTCGTCAGGTGGATCTCCGCCTCGCTTCCTCTTGTCTACGGGCGAGAGCGATCGGAAGCATGTAAGGCTTACTGGCGCGTGCGACTCGGGTTTCCTGGCAGAAAGGCCCTGTCTTAGGAGCTCAGGGGTTCGCAGAGTACCGTATAGAAACTTCTGCCTGGAGCAGCCGGGGTAGAGGTCAAGCTACGAGCTTTTGACTGGTTTTCTGACTTCGATATGCTGATCGCTAACGCTAGACTGGCTAAATTTCTCATCGCAGCGAAGACACCAAACTTCACTGGCGCAGCCTAATTACTCACTTTCTAAACAAACACACACCACAATTAATTAATGTTAAATTTCACGAGTTAAAAAAAGAAAACACCTGAGAGGTGCTCTGAAGCCGTTTTTGCACAAGGGTTTTGCCTGAGAGCGCAACACCGGTGCGAAAATCAATTCGCATACCTCTTACAACTTTTTTTTTTTAATTTTGAGCAGCTGGTAGTTTAATGCTCCTTTTGGGTCCACCTGACCTAATAACCTTATTTATTTATTTATTTATTTATTTTTACATACTGCAGCCCCATTGGGGCTATAGCAGGAGCGGGGATCATATAGAGAGAGGCATTCAAGACATCGCAATCAACCACTATCAACGGCACACGGAATTCCGTCTGGTTGTCGTGACGGGACGTTTCCTGGCAACAAAATTCTAACATTCAATGATGTGAGGAAGAAGCTTTATCTAAGCATGTCGGTACGTGGATGAAACGGTAAAATATTTGAATCGTGGTGGCTCCTCGTTGAAGTTGGGTCGAGAAACTTTATGTTGTTACCTAAAGAGGCAAAACGTGATGAATTAATCATAAAATACAAAGACTTCAGGCTCTCAGTATCACGACGCTGAGAAAGAGGACGAAGTCCAAGATTGCGGGACATTCAGTTTAGTTCCCGAAACCGCACATAGATGGCGCCTAATGCTGCGATAAAGCTCAAGCAGCTAGCTAAAGAAGGTAAATCAGGGTCCGTCCCCGTCGAGAAGTTCCCCCCTCCACCTTCTCCTTCTCTACTTCGGAGGCCGTGAGGCGTCGTACGCTTGAGGTGCGGTAGGCTTCGGGCGAAAAGATTATCCCAGGATTTTCCATTGTAAACGAGTGGTGGTGGTGGTGGCGGGGGAGGGGGGGGGGGGGGGGGGGGGTGCGGCTCGTTTTTTAGACGAGCTGGCCGTCTCCAGTTCAGCTTGGAGGCACAAAAGCTCGTTCGCTCCGTGATAAAATGTTTGGTTCTCGTTAAATTGTCCCGTCGCAGCGGATACACAAGTGGTCGCATTATCTAGCTGTGCAAATCCGCACTTTATAAATAGTTTTCAAACCTCAGCTAGGACTCTTATATCTGAAGACATTAAACTTGAGTCTCATTTTTTCTTTTAATTTGGTTAGAAATAAATGGTTAGAAATATCATTCAACGCCGTTTGAGCCCTTTTCCCGAGCACCGTTACGTCGTCCCGGTTACCATTGAACTCTACCTATTAAAACAGTTGGCTTCCATGGTATTTATTCTAATTTTTTGGGGGGTTTTGCTTATTTGCGCGTAATATAAGCATGCGCAGGTATATTTTTGCGTGGATAAGTGATGTAAATATTATAGTGCTGGGCGATTGATCGATTAACCTTCCGATTAATAGCGCTATCAATTTTCTGAACGACTAGTCGTTTTTTTAATTTGTATACGAGAGAAGACCAATTTAAGCAATTTTATTTTACTTCGTCTTAGTACCACTGTAAGGATAGTCAACAGGAACTGCCTCCATGCCAGAGAATGTGAACGAACTTCTTTCTTCGAAGGAGGAGCAACAGTTGGGGAACACCTTTTCAGATCGAGCTGTCAACTGCACACCGAACTACATATCATAAGTAGGAAATGTACCTTGGGTTGTGTATAACATAGTAAACGAAGTCGTCAAAGGATAATTGACAGTTTCGATTAATCGATTATTTTATAAATTAAAAGCTGGACATTAATCGGGCAAAAAATTTTAATCGACTCCCCACCCTAATTCACGGTTGTAGAAAGTGTATAATAGAAGTGAATTTTCGTTAACATTTGCCAATTGCGAACATTTGTTGACTGCGTTATGACGCCTTTATATTTCGCAGAGAGACTTCTTAACGTACTAAGATTTTTGCCTTCTGTGAATTGCTCCGAAAATAAAATGTGAGGCTTTGTTTTTATAATCGGGTTATGATAATTTTAACATTTCCTAAGAGAGCGGCATTTAATTACGTTGCGTACACTTTTCATTTTTCGTAATTAGACACAGAAATAAAACAAGAAATGCACAATATTTTTGTTTTTTTTGTCTTATTATGCTCAAGTTATGTCCAATTTTTAAACACAAATAAACAATATTTTAGGCATTTCGGTGAGAAACCGGCCAGCATGTAACAATGTCAGATTTTCTTGCTTGCCGTTGGCAAGCTTTTCTACGGAAATATGTTCCCCAAAAACCAAGGATCAATGTCTTTTTTTTTTATTTCTAAATTTTAGGGAAGAAAGGCCAAATTTGCGTTGAATATCTCTAAGCCGGAATTGTTTGTTCCTTAAAGGCGCCATGGGGTAATTATGGAGAAAAGCTCACCGCCAAACAGACAGATGCAGAGAAAAGCCCACCAGTGACCACACGTTTGACCGATCCGAAGAAAAGCTCACCACAGGTTTGACCAACCCGGAGAGAAGCTCACCATGAATTTCATCTTTCCGTAACATTTATGTGTATGCCACCAACTTAAGAGATGTTGGTTTTTATCATTTTAGAGCAGCAGTAGCTTTGCAGTGAAACCAAAGCTAAAAACCTTTCACTTTACCCTTGTTGGCCAGAGTGACCCATGAGCGCCAAGATGGAGTTGACGCCGTCTACTTCATCTACTGTTTCGCCGTGCAACTAGAAAAGTATTCCACTCGTTATAGTGTAAAAAATGCAACTGAACATGAGCACTTATTTTAATGTTCTTCCTTTACCAGTTGAAGACCATATCCGCTTTATATGTCCTTTGCGTTGGGTTCCAGTGTGCGGGATAAAAAGAAATTAATAAGTTATGTTTCTGTTCAAGTTATTCCGAAGACAATTTACGAAGGTCATGAGAGGACATTAACAGCCTGAGCCCTGGATGACACTGTTAGCTGAAAAAGATGCATGAGTAGGCTAACATATAGATTGTGCGGCAACGCGCAATCATTTTGTTGGTCAAAAATAGGTTTACAAGGAATAGTTTTGCTGATAAAAATATCTCAAACAAGCAGTTTATTTTTCAATTTTACGGACTGTATTTTTATTATTTCTTCGTAAACGAATAAGCTTTTACCAAATTATTAGACCCAGTTAAGAAATTTGTTGGTGAGCTTTTCTCCGGATTGGTAAAAGGGCTGGTGAGCTTTTCTCCGCATCCGCATATTTTGCGGTGAGTTTTTCTCCGGTCAGCCTTTCGCCGGTGAGCTTTTCTGCGGTGAGGTTTTTTCCGCCGTCTGCCCTGAAGAGGTTTCTGAGATCGCCTAATTATGACGGTAACTCACTCTGCGGGCTCTAAGCATCCTAGAGATTTTTGAATCGCAACGATGCGCGGCCGATTACTCTATTAAAACAGCAATCAAGGATCGAAAACACCGGGGCCATCTCAGGCGATGCCTTGCACCTACGTCACATGATGACGTCGAACACCGCCATCCCCCATGCTGGTGGTTGACTCGGCGGCCCTTTGCAGCGAGAGCAATGGTAAACTGCGCCGCGCTCGGCTGTAGCCATTACTACCTATTCCGACGATCGTCCGATCGTATTGTCGGCATGCTCCGCGAGACAGAGTAGCCGTCAAGTTAGAGAAAGTACGAGCGGCGGAAAGAGATCTGCCTGACTACTACAAAGTTATCTCCATCGCCAAACTCAATCGTGACGACACTTTGACGTCACCGTGAACTTTATTAGCTCGAACTCCATCGGAATCCGTAGGGAAAAACTCAATCGCAACGTCACATCACGTGACCAAAAGGGCAGCCAATCAGCGACCGATTGAGTTAACTTCATCGTTGAGTTTGCGATCTAGCATAGACAGCCTGGCCGATTACCGAGTTCGCGGGACGCATTTCATAGCGCCGAGCGACGGCACTTTATCGTTGTTTACGTTCGCGCACGCCTTTGCGTCGGCTCTTGCCCATTCGTTGTGTAGATGGCCTTTGCCTTTCGTTACATCACGCCGTTTCCGCGCTTCGAGCACACCTTCGGGGCTCCCGACCGAGTACGGGAGAGTGTCGTGC